TTTTTTTTCACAGGTCATTCAAACGATTTTTTACCTGTACGCAGTGTTTGTCGATCATATCGCCGTGCGCACTTGCTCTGTCGTCACGTCAGAGTCGTTGAAAAGGAGCAAACACAATTTTTTCACAATTTTTGCATTTCCACTGTCGATGGTAATATGCAGTTTTTTTTACAAGTTACAATACAAACCGATATAATATAAAGAAATGAAAACTTAAGATCAATGTCCGTATATATATATAAGTACCTAAATCCGTTTATATTTAAGTAAAAACTTAAAAACTTCCCACTATATAATAATAGGTTTCCAATGTTTCCATTCCAATGTTAGTCATTATTCATTGAGTAGTCACTGTAATAGATACACATTATATGTATATAGGTACATACATATAATGTGTATAGGTTATGTGTTCAGTTTGAATTCAATGATGATTGATGAATCATACATTCATACTGTATTCACAAAAACAATTATTTTCACCGTAGATGGATGTGCAAACGTCTATTTTTAAGAAGATAACTATAATAGAATCTGCCTATCTTTATATAATAGTAAAATTACTAGATTTTAAGTGCATATTKATATATTGTACATATATAAATTAAAGCATTATATTACATATTAAACAATCAAAATTGTTGGGTAGATTTCTTATAATTTATAAAGCATTCCAAAAAATTAGAATTTATAATAAGTCGAGCTAATTATACATAGTTTTTGCAATTATGTCAACGCAACTTTAACTACTTCCTCAGTCATTTCTCTCATAACATAATTTATATACCAGTATAAATTATGSCAATATTTTTATGACAAGCACTGTTAAAACTATTTCAGTTTTATTCTAATTCCAGTCCAAACATATAGTGAGATATTAATTTGTAACAAAACAAATGAATAAGACTAATATTTTATATCACTGAATGGTCAGGGCTCCCACAGAGTTATAYTCAGGGGAGAGGCAAAATGAAACTAGATTCTATAACCATTCTAGATAAATTATTCTGTACAGACATAAAAGTATTAATCCACTGATAAAGTGATAAACACTAAGCAAAAGTCTATGGTATTAAATATGAAATAAGTAAATGAATTAAAAGCCATAATAATTAGCAAACGGCTTTCGATGCTCTAAAAAATTAAAAAATAATTTATTACACTTTAACTGAATTTTTTTGTAATGCTCTAAAAAAATG